GTTTAACGTGTCCAAAAATCAAAGAAAAATAAACTGTACATTTTTAAACATAAACTGGTTTAGAAAAAATCCCGCTGAAAAGGTGTTAAGCTCACTTTGTTCATAAATATTTATTAAATCGATTTATTGAAACACGAAATTTATTTTAAGTTCGTAAAATAGCTAAGTGCCTACGTTTCATGACGATATGAAAATGGAGTGCGTAGAATAAAATCTCGCTTTCCTATAGCCCATTATATTTCAAAATGACGCGATTTCGTCACAAAACATAAAATTAAAAAAATTCTAATTCGAATTTCGAAAAAATCGCTTCGAGGTGCACTGACTCTTGTCTAGATGCACCTATGCACGAAATTTCGTAGCCGTGGGTCTATTAGCTTACGCACTGCGCGAACGAAAGGCATACAGACAGACTCTTTGTTTCATTATGTGTAGAGATTTAGAGTAGGATTTTGTTTCTCAGTTTCTGAATGAAAGATAAAAAGAAGAAACCGGAATAAAAAAATAACTGCGAGTAATTTACACCTTTATAGGCTACTATTTTAGCCCTTCTCTCATTTATCATCAGTATTACTCTTTGTTACTTTCACAGCACTGCGTTATAAAGTACTTGGTCAGATTACAAATGAATTTACAATTTATCAAATTTCAGTGGGTCCACTTTTCTTTACGTCATGTCCTACTCTCTCTAAGATGAGCTTTCTTAATCGTACTATCATGTGTACTTCGTCATACAAGTAACATTTGAAAACATCTCTGAAACTGCTTTTTTAAAAGCACGGAAACTCCCGTCGTCTTGAATAACTTTTAACAGAATGTGAAAAAAAATCATCGTTATAAGAAACACTGCTTAAGATATTGCAAATGGATAAAGAAGGTACAGTAACACCATTTTTATTTAATATATCTTATTTAAAATGATATTATATGCATTCTTTCGTGCGTATGTGTTAAATGTATGTGGATCTATTTCAGTGAAAATACGAAGCTTTGAAAAATTTAAGGAATATTTTTTCATTTTAAATTTAAAGAAAATTTAAAAATATTAAAAAGATTGTGGTACACATATTAATCAAGCAAGCACGTTATTTGTTATACATGTTTATTTTTTTTTAATTCACTATGTTTCTTTTATTGTAAACATAAATGTATAAAAAGAAAATCTGTTCATTCCCCCCCCAATAAGTTTTTCATTATTTTATCAAATTTATTTCAGGCCTTTGCTTATTCAAACCCCCTTTGCTTTTCAAAACCTTTCAGCGTTTTCGAAATGGATCACCAAGATTTCCTTTCCACAAATCATAAGTTGCTGTTACCAAACCAAAAAAAAAAAATATATCAGAAAGTGGAATAACAGCAAATTAATATGCTTGGAATGAAACTAGAAAGGTCAAACGCAAGCAACATTAAGTTTAAATACACTGTTGAATAGGTCCCTTTATCTGAGCCTGTTTCTGTAATGTATGTAGTTATGCGTATGATTTCATGCATGCGTTATGCACATATGTATGTATGTGTGTGTATACATACACATATGAGCGTAGAGTCTGGTTCGGATAATAGAAGAGTAAAAAAGATACGATAGGCCAGCAAGCTTAAAAATGTAAATCAACCATTTTTGTATCCTAATAGCAGAACAATTTCAAAAGAAACAATAAAAGACAAGACGAATTTATTAAAGCATATACCTCCAATAAAAACACTACTTTACAGGACACTAAGATCAATATATGGAGATCAAAATTTAGATTTAGATAACTCGGAAGAAGAAGATGTTTGTTATGACAAATAAGCATAAAACTTATAACAACAAATGTTATTGTATTATTTTTACATAAATTTCTAATCGTTTTCAGCTGCCAAAAGTAAGTTATAAAGTTTTATGGTGCTATTATTGTCCAAATAAAAACTTGTGTTTTTATTTAAACATCCTATACATATCTCGTTTGTTGCAGAGCCTACCCTTATAAGGACATTCTTTTCTGATAAAACAAATAAATCAAAAGATTGAAAAATCTTTTTAAAAATAAAATTTAACTCTTTTTAAAATTTTTTGTTGTCTGTACTTAATTTTATTGGCTTCTGAGTGACTCATATTATTCAAATTTTTGTGCAAGTGTAGTATAACTGTACAACCATTGCGATTGCATGCAGGTAGTGAAACGTTATGGATATTATGACAACCACTCTTATGCACACTGAAAAGACTTTTTCTACTTCGAGATAAACGAGCAAGATGAAGTTCGCAGGAGAAAAAAAAAAACTAATCGACATAAAAAAACTGAAACATTCGGAAAACAACATTTACAAGCGCCAAACGAGACAGGCAAGAAAACAACATTTACAGGATCGGAAATTGAAAGCGAATTCTGTCCCAAGTTTTTAATCACGCTGGGGCCAAAGGCCACTCGGAAACGAATCGCAGTATTGCGGTCAGTGAATCGGAATGAGTGGCAACAGACGTCTTTGGCATATCGAGACAACAAGAAAATCAATGACCTTGTCCAAGGTCGCTAAGTTTTCCCTCGTGCGGCAGCTGTAGCCCCTTAACTAAACTTATTCTAGACCACTCATTCACTTATACATTATTCCTTCAGCGTGGGTTTTTCCACTAAATGCTTCGTTTCTTTCCCCTCTCTGTGTCCCCTTCGTAGTCACTGGAGCAAGGGGAGACGAAATATATGACTCTGGTTTTTAATGGTCTTTTTTACGGTTTTCGCAGGAAGTGCTTTACTTTTCCTTAAATAGGAATATATTAGGTATTTTTTCTAAGTCGAACGTTACAACTGACAAAAGTGGTACAAAAAAGTAAGGAGAAATGTTTTTAAAAGCTGCAATTAGAATTACCCTGAAGGCAATCTTTATTGTTAATCAGCCGTTTTACAAGAATGAGAGTATCTAAAACCTCTTTTTTTCCCTGTTTTTTCTCCTCTTTGTCCATTTTTTCTCCTTATTACGTAATTTCAGTTAAAAAACTAACATGATTGCAAAATCATGTTCATTTGGCACTGCTGCTTTCTGCCTCCCCTTTACTCTTCTTTTATTTTACTAAAGCTCTATAAAATCAATTATCATAAAATTGTATTAAGACCACCTGCGAAATGAAAAGTACTAAACTAAAAAGATTTTAAAAAGCTAATTAAAAGATTTTGAGACATTGCATTGTCCATTCTCATTATGTAAAATGATATCATATATTTTCTGAAGGAGGATTTAAATATTAGTTTTACAATAAGACAAAAGGTTCCTAAAGTTATTGGGTAGTAACGGTTTGCAAACTGATTATATGGTGCAGTATTCGGTTTCGAGAAAGACTACAAAACCATCAAATTGCTCAATCATTCCATGGACATTTTCAGACTGCTTTATAGAAATGATTATTAACTTGAAGTGTTCTTTTCTCTTTTGTTGTTGCTAGCTACCTCTGTTCCGGTTTGGCTAGAAACTTTCCTATGCCGATATTTCGGCTTGATTAGAAGCAAACTATTCTCTGCCCTGGAATGGCAACAATGAGAACTTGATTTTCGATTTGAAGCAGCTCGAACGCTGCTCATGAGATGTAACATTAGATTTGATTCTAGATTCTAGATTTGATTAATTTGTTTAGTATTTTACTAAATCCTTTTTAAAACTAGATTGAGTATTTTGATCATAGAATCATAACTGAACCACCACTTGCAGAAATTTAGATACGTCACTAGATGCGCAGTTAAATGCGTAGGCATCGCCATTCGTCTATTCGATTAGTGTACATTAGTGCGTACATAAATATTTTTGGTGTGACGTGCCGAGAATCCGGCTGATATTCGAAAATATGTATCCGTGAGTATGGTATAGCACGGTGTGAAGTGTGCGAAGACTACAAAAAGATAGAATAAGTTTTCTATTTTAAAGTAATTATGGAAGATCTTGTGGCTAAGCTTAAATCGAAACGCAAAGTATTAAGGACCACAGTGTCTAAGATACTAAAGAAAACTGAGACAGAATTAAGCAAAGATGACGTTAGATATATATAATAGAAGAAACTTTAGACATATTAAACGAAAAAGTAAAACATCTGATTGATTTAATAGAACGGGATTTGAATATTGCAGAGGATGAATTTGAACTCGAAGTTTCATCTGCGATCGAAAATGAAGAAAAAAATGCAACTGTGGCGATTTAAAGATAGAAACAAATTGAGGGAATTAAACAAATTCGGATAAGGAAAGTATGGACATTTCTAATGAAACCGCCACGGATTCCAAAATTTAAAGTAATAAATTTATTCGCCTTCCAAAATTGGCTATCTCTAAATTTTTTGGTGATTCTAGCAATTGGCAGAAATTTTGGAGTTAATTCGAAGCAGCTATCCATAACAATGACTCATTATCGAAAGTAAATAATCTCAGTTACTTAAAGTCGTTACTAGGTGGGGTAGCTGATAATGCTGTTTCCGGATTTCCGCTTACAAATGAGGACTACGATTTACCTCTCCCTGATATCGCAGTTTTCAAAATTAACAAAGAATATAATTAGCTGATTCTTGTGAATTCAGTGACAAAAACATTGCTTTTTTGATCGGAGCAGATTACTATCATGAAGTAATAACTGGTAGACTTAAATATTTTAAAAATAAACTTATAGCATCCGAAATAATATTTGGATGGTGCCTTCAAGGCAGGACTGATCCGAATGGTGAACTGTTAAACATGGACATTATTGTTGACGATAAATTGGTCTCAACACAGTTAAAACAGTTTGGGAAATTAGAAACATTGGAAATTGAACAAGGGAAGGAAAGTAGTAAAATAGATAGCGACATTTTACAGAATTTTAACAGTACTATCAAATTTAAAGAAAAGCGATATGAGGTTAAACTCAATTGGAATGAAAATTCTTCTAAGTTAAAAATGAATTAAATAAATGCAGAAGCTCGCTTTAATAAACTGTTTAAAAGGTTGAGAAATGATCCACTGCTTCATCATCAGTATCACTCAGTTATAGAACAGCATTTAAAAATGGGTATAGCTGAGGAAATTGATCCAAGTTCTGAAAAAACCGGAAGAATTTATTACATGCCTCACCAGCCAGTTATTCGATTTGACAAACCAGTGAGAGTTTCAATTGATGCATCTAGCCATTCGAAAAGCGAATATCCTTTAAAAGATTGTCTCTATTCCGCTCCTAATTTAAATCCACCGTTGTTAGAAATATTAATACAATTTCGCACACCTAGCATAGCATTTACTGCCAACATCGAACAAGCATTTCTCCAGATTTCTCTGTCACCTGAAGATAGGGATGCTGTAAGATTTTTCCAAGTACATAACCTTGCAGATAAGGATGGGAAACCTAACACGAAAATACTTAGGATGACTCGCGTTTTTTCGATGCTACATCCAGTCCATTTTTTCTTGCCGCCACTATCAAACACCACATAGATACTTTTAAAAAAACAAATCAGAAAGCAGTTAAACTATTGAACGAATGTTTATACGTAGACTATTTAATAGGTGGGGATGAAGACGCAAACGAAGCTAAACTCATATATTTTACTCATATATAATAGATATGTAGTGAAGACTGCTGGTTTCAACATGCGAAAATGGAAAACAAATTGTGCGAATCTGCAGGAAGTTTTTGATGAATACGAAAATGGTGAAATCCAGAAAGTTCTGGAACAGAAGGTAGTGGGACATAAATGGAATTACAAGGAAGACTTTCTGAAGATAGAATCACAAAATATAACTGATCAAGTTCAAGTAAAAACAAAAGCTAATCACAAAAAGAGAAGTTCTTAAAACCATTGGAAAGCTTTACGATTTCATTGGATTTATAAGTCCGTTCACTATTAGGGCAAAAATACTAATGCAGGAAATTTGGCAACTTGGGTCAGATTGGGATGCTAAGCTGCCCTTGAACTTGAAAAACAGAATGAAAAAATGGGCTAATGAACTGTCAGCTATTCAGAATGTAAACATTCCGCGACATTACTTCCGAAACACTAACAACTGAATTGAGAGATATTCAAATGCATTGCTTTACCGACGCAAGTCAGAAGCCATATGGAGCTGTAATATACCTGCGATACGTCACGAAGGACAGTGAAATAGGAAGTAGTTTTGTCATCTCCAAAACCACAGTAGCTCCACTGAAGAAGCTGTCCTTTCCAAGACTAGAGCTGATGGGAGCACTCATCGGGACAAGATTAGCCTTAAATGTGAAAGAACAGTTAAAGAAAAGATACCAGATGAATGTATATTTTTGGTCAGATTCTTCTGTGACGTTACATTGGACAAAGGACGATTTAAATAAATGGAAACCATTCATTCAATATCGAGTATTGGAAATATGAGAGAAAAAAAATCACATCAGTCCTGGAATTATTGCCTTGGAGATGAGAATCCGGTTGACATGCTGACCAAAGGAACGAAGGCAAATTACACGAAAGGAATAACGTTATCTGAACTACGAAATAGTGATATGTGGTGGCATTACAGAGCATCGATTCGTGGCCTAAATTTGCAGAATCAGTAAGAGATTTCAAAGATAATGTAGAGCTTGAACTTCGAAAGGGAGATGTGGTGAACTCAACAGTCACAGGTGAAAATTCCCTTGAGAACGAATTCATTTAAAGATATTCATAGTTTAGCAAATTGATTAGAACTACTGCATTGTGTTTAAAGTTTGTGAACAACTGTAGAACCAGTCCACCATTAAAGAATAGAAAGTTTTTTGAGCGCTTCTGAATCACAGAATGCAAAAAACGTCCTAGTCAAATGTGTACAACATTCTGAATTTCAACTTGAAATTAAGTGCCTGCAGTCGAAATGATCAGTCCCAAGTAATAGTAAGGTTTTACCCTTAAATGTGTTTCTTGACGAAGATGAACTTTTACGAGTTGGTGGGAGACTGAATCTCTACAATCATTCAGAAGACCAGAAACATCAACTTCTTTTACCCAAAAAGCATCATTTCACTGAATTACTCATAGATTATTATAAAAAAAAATATCTCGTCATTCGGCTCTCAAACAACACTTTCTGTTATTAGACAATTATACTGGATACCTTCCGGACAAGGTAGAATTAAACGCGTTACAAATAATTGCATGACTTGCTTTCGAACAAGGAACCAAACCATAAACCAAATGATGGGAGATTTACCTAGATATAGACTTGTAATAACTAGACCATTCGAAAAAATAGGACTGGAATTTGAAGGTCCAGTTATCACTAAGCCTAATTGGAAAGATCTAGGGTTACTTTAAAATCATACATAGCGATATTTATTTGCTTTAGTACAAAGGTTAAATTAGTATCGGATTTGTCTACTGAAACATTTCTAGCATGTCTTATAAGGTTTATTGCCAGACGATCTAAACCATCCATTGTTTGGAGTGATAACGCTACGAACTTCAATGGAACGAAAAATGTTCTTGATAAACTCCTTAGAATTTGTAGATCGCAGATGTATTTTGTAGATCTCCTTAGAATTTGTAGATTTGCAGCTGAGGATGGTGGTTCGGTAAAACCATCGAAACTAGTCCTGTGAAAATTTCGTAAATATAACGCTGATTTTTGTTGTTTGACTTCTGAATTAGTAAATACCTTATAACACTATGAAAGAAAACTTACTTTTTTAGCATGATTAATATCTTCTATTTCATACTAGGGATTTAATTAATAAGATCTTTCTTTTAAATGTCTTTGCGTAATTCTTAAACATTTCCGTTAGACATTCGTTCCAAATAAGTCTTGTTATGCAGTCATAAGCACATAATAAACGAAATTGCGGGGAAGAAAATACATAAACCGTACGTCCTCAGTGACTGACAGATATATACTTTTTTTATGTCGCTCTGTACTAAATTAACAGATCTTACTGAACTAATGTGTGATTAAATTTTTTGAACTTTTATTTTATAAAATTATGATGTGAATACATTCGATGCGTATTCAGGAAGCCTGGAGTTTGAATCCCGGCGAGACATTCACGCTTTTTATTTTCCTACATGGCTTTAACTTAGTAACTGTGCAAAGTATCAATATACATATTTATTATAGTCCTTTTCAACAATTAATGCACATATTACCTTCTTGTTTCTGTAAAATTTTGTTTCTTTGCATATAATAACATAATGTTCTTATATCTGGGCCTGTGGTCTAAATAGCTACGTGGAATTTCTGATCAAGGCTTTAAGCTTTTGAAAATGAACTTGAAACAGATACTTCGTTCACACATGTATGTTGTAACGAATGGATAACAACAAAGGAAAAAAATAGAGCTCTTTTACCGATGAATGGAAACTTTATTTTGCAGATACCTATAGCTGAACAAAATCACTTTTTAAGTCTAATAAGTTTTCTTTAACTTTCATTCATACATTTAATAGCATATGCTCTAAAACACATGCATATTTTTTTCGAACTCAAACTACTTTTCTTTGTTAATTCAAATTAGTAATGAAACATTCTCTCACAAATGCGGAGATGTTCATTTAGAGCTTCTACCAACATACGATTTCAAGGGACACATTTTTCAATATATAAATATAAATATATATACTAGCGGTCTTTCTATTTTTCGATTAAATGTATTGCATATTCCACTCTTTCAAATAGTTAGGCTATTTTTTTGCAATTGTTAATTGTTCCTTTTTAGCTAAATACTGAGAGTTACTCTCTGAAAAACTGTTTTTAATTCTTCTTTGAATTAACTTAACTTACAACTTAACTTATCTCGACTTAACTTAACTCTTTAACTTAACTTATCTCGACAGTTAACAAAATTAACGGACAGCAACAAGCTTTGCCCTTCAACAGCTAACAAACTTCAGCATAGAACAACAAAAGGTGATGCTCTGATCTCACTTTATCAGATAAAATTGAAAAAACATATGGGAGCTTTTGTAGAAACGAAGCAGTTTATTGTTTGAAGAAGAAGTACTTTGACCCTTTCTGCTATTGCAGCTGAGCCATATGTGCATACACGTAAGCAATTTTTCAATCAAACTTTTTTCGCATCCAACTATTCAGTGGTCACTTTAAAAATTTCCATTTAATTTACTTGTTTTGGAGTTCTTCATAAAATAAGTAATGCCTTTTAAACCTTTTCCTCAGGAATTCAAACGAATTCAGTTAGGTGACAACAGAAAATAATACTTGAATCGTCAGCACGCAGGAAAACTTGTAATTTTTCTCGTAAAATGAGTGATTCTGCCACGTTAGGCGTTTTAGTTTTAATTATGGTTCTCTCAATTTTATATAACTTGCTTTTAGAGATTCATCAAATATCAATCGCTTCTAACATATGAAAGAATTTTGTATTTGAATTTAAATACTCAGACACTGAAAAACAGTAAGAAAATATTTTTCCTGTAGGTGTCCTATAAATGTTTGATAGAAAAACTTCAGCGTGATTTTACTTGGCATCGTCTCTGCTTCTGACAACATTTCCAGAGATGTGATACATGGTTGTAAGGATTATGTTAATTTTATTAACAGTTAGATTTTGAGTTAAAGTTCCTTTCCTGTCAAAGTCTTAATTTCGAGACTTTGACATACTTCTGGCCAGAACGTAGTTTTAGAATCACTCTGAATACATTACGAGGAAGAGCGGTATTTAACTGCGAAGTTCTACTTGCTGAGTTAGAGAGAATCAGAGTTTCTAATTTTCGCAAGTCTGCCTTTTTGGCTACTCTCTCGCAAACCTGTTATTACGCTCGGCCGTATTCAGGCCCTTGATAGCTTCGCAGTCAATTAGCGTTAAGGGGCCAACTCGGTTAGAATCTTGATAGCTTCGGCTGTATCTCTTTTTAGTTTAGATTAGTTTTAGTTTATTTCTTAGCCTCTTACGTTCAAGCCTAAGTGTCGGCTTTTATTGTACGCTACAAGACGGAGTTCTGTTATATCTTATTTGAATAATAAAGGGTTAATTACCATTCTATCTTGTTGTTTCTTGTGACATGAACGTAAGCGATTATTCGCTTAGCGGTTCTTAAGATTCTTCACGTTCAACTGCAACTTAGCTTTTACAAAGCGGGGAATTCTACAATGGAAGCATAAATTATCAAAGTACACGAAACCGAATTTCAGAAAATGCTCTTCATTTAATACGCTTTCAACCATTTTTAGTTTACGTTCCTAGCCTGGTGAATTTGATGGAGTTTCTTTTTTAATATTTTTACATTTTTGGATATAACAAAGATTTAAATTTTGATATAATTAAAATATGGGAAGAACACAAAATTAATAAGACATTAAATAGAAAGATATGAAGCACATGAAGCTAATTTATGCATTATAATCAAGGATATCAAATACACCCTCAAAATACGGAAAAAAAGAAAACATGCCTTATGAAAATGTCAATTAGTGATAGTTAATAGTCTACCAAATCTATGTTTACCATGCTCAAGCTATACAAATGAGGAATAAATCATTTCATGACTCATTGTTTGAACGGCTGTTGTCTTAAACGTATCAGATATCTTTTAATTTCAATGATATAATTAGCTGTAAGAAACCAAATGACTAGACAATGTTCATTTTATCATGCAAAGTTACTTCTTTCTTGCATGACGGTTATAACTTCAGCTATAATTAATGTTTCAGATCGACGGTAGCAAACGGAACCGTGGCTTGGTAGCAAATAATAACAACTTCACTCGTGTTGAACAAACTGTCAGACTTATTAAAACACAAACTCAGCAAAGGACGCAAGAACTCATCCCTTGAAAATGTTTTACAAAGACCACTCAGCAGCACTCATACAACTTACGGCAGTTCTTACGAGTGCATGTTCTTGAAACACTCGAAAGATGCTCTCACAGCAATAAATGAAATAGAATTGAACATAATAATGACCTTCTGAGTGGTAGATGCAAAATGTGAAGTTATGAGTAATGAGAGGAATGGCGCCTACGGATATCCTGGGACTTATCTTTCACGCGTATGTAGTTGGAAAAAAGCAATAATGTGAAAGGCAACCCAGCTTTTAGTATCATTGTTCCATAATGCTCATCTATCAGGACTACTATTTCTTCTTATCTGTTTAGCAAACATGTAGGTGTCCTGAGTATAACAGTGAGTTTACTTAAAACTATAACCTATGCTACTGTAGAGGATATGACAAAGATAAGAAGGGTTCAATTACCCTTTTATTCTCCACAATTTACAGGTGCTGCCGCACTTCGGGATACAAAGACCAGCAAATGGAACGTAAGAAAATAAGAACTATAAACTAAGTTTAAATAAGAGCTAAAATATTTTAGACAGACTAGGAACACTAAGATCGGCCTTTTAGATTTTTACCTATGTAGTACGCAGAATGCGAGAAAACTACAAGACATCTTCAATAACAAGAGGACTAAATTTCTGGTCTTAAAGGTGGACAGCAACTGACTTGAATGCGCGCGTGAAGTAAGGTGGCGAGAAGTCTCACTCTCTCTCTAACTCTTCTTAGCTAAAAGCCACAACTTAATGCTTAAGAGTTTGCAAGCACAATTTGCATAATAAAACTAACGAGCTTATTCTGGACAGAAGTGGGAAATAAGAGAGGACAGTAAAGTTTAAAAATAAAATAAACGTTAGTAAAACTTAAACTCCTTATAAGAATGCAGTTAAATTCTTCTCTACACATTGATTGGGAAACCTTGCAGAACCTAATGGCCATGGTGAATATATTGTTAGATTTGAAACATAGAATGAAATAAAAGGGAAGTAAGAAAATAAATTCTTTCATTCCGATAGCATAGTTCCTTATCGATGCCTTCTTATCTATATGAGTGATTTTCAACGGAGACAACGGTGCCTTTTCATAGCATTTCTTACACGACAAATATTTTAAAAATTCTTTCTCAAACTAGAGCTAAGATTTAACATTTATTGCTGCAGCTGACTATGTGCTTTGGATTCCACAGTGCTAAGAAGGAACTAATATTTCTTTCCGAAAAGTACTCTGAGGATCAGCATAGAACACCGGAATGATCTAGCAAAAATAACTAAATGTATAAGCATATTTAGCAGTTAATTTATTTTACTTTATTCATGCAATTTAAAATTATGTTAGGACCATATATCCTTAAAGATTATTCTGTGAAATACCTGTTTGTCATTCACTTACGTTTCTCGAACCCGGTGAATAGTCTGGCACCTTCTTGGCTCGATTACCACGGAATCAATCCAAGTATGCTTTGCGTCCTGCTCAGTCCCACAGTTTATTCTTAAGAAAACCTTCTTCCACATGCTTTTCCACTGTACAGTTATTGAGTCGTTATATTAAGTTTTCTAATATTTTGTGACAGCATGTAACACTCTAAAAGCTATCTGAAGTTTGTATCCAAAAGCTTTTGATACTCCTGTAATCCATTTTAAAACCATTCACCTAAACACATGCTATAAAATTCTATACCTCAGAGTAGAATTTCTGTTCTCTTCAATATTTCTTAGAGCTATACGTTTTTACATAACTTACCCTTGTTTCTGGTCAAATGTATTTAAACCTTTATCGTATTTTGCAGAAAATATTTGGAATGAAAGCATGAAGTTGCTGAAAGATAAACCTTTCCTCGAAAATTCGCTTTCAGCTGTATAGCAAAAAGAATGACGGAAATGCAATATTAAAACTGAAATTTGAATACCGTATATGTATACTGCATCTTGGAGACGAAAGAGCTTCAGAACAAATACATCATGTATATCAGTTTAGTAGCAGAACAGAACAATTCAATAATATGAAAAATGCTGTTTATAGTAAATACTGATAAAATAGTTGAAGAAAGTATAGTACATTATTTGACCAATGCGAAGAAAAGAGACTAGGTATAAGAGTTTTGTGCTTTTTGTATAGCAGGAGTTTTAAATTTTTAACCCCAAAACGCTTTAGTATCTGCGAATCAAATCGAAAATGACTTTTTTAATGCTACTTCTGCAACTAGATGAAATAATATGAAGAAAGTATAACAGAACCTTCTAAAACAAGTACACATTTGTCCTGTATAATCGGTTAGCTCAGAGATTAGTTAACTGTTAAAATGTAAATGAGCAAAATTCTGATTTATTATTTATTCTTTATAAATCATAAAGAATAGGAATTTATGTAACGTACACAATGTTTATCAGAAACATTCTGTGGCTTTACCTAAATTCCTTAACTATACCAAATGAATTTTGCGTTATTAAAACATGAAAGAAAGATCTGTTTGTTTAAAAAACATCCCAAACCACAGATAGATGCCACTGTATGAAAAAAGAAATGACAATTTTTGCATAAAACATTTACCTTAAATTAATTGAAACTTCTAAATGAGAAGCTGAAAGTTATATACTATACCAAAAGGAGTAACATACTCTCGGAATTTTGCGTAAAAAATGCGGTAAAGACCATGTTGCTTCTAGATATCGTCTTCACTTAATGATGCAATTGTAACTGAAGACTTCCTATATTTCTTTCCTAGTCAAAAGTAAGTTATGTGAACTATGCCTTTAGCAAAACAGTCCTGTAGTGCTGCGCTGCAATTTATTAGGCAATTTCTAGTCATTACGAGGAAAAATTAAGGGAAATTTCTATTTCATCTTATAAAGTATTTCTCCCACTTCCCTAGCGTGCCTATGTGGTGTAACGGTAGCAAGCTGGGCACGTATACCAGAGGTCCGTGGTTCGATTCCCTGCGAAGGCGGTTGCATATTTTTATCTTTTCTGCTTCCAGTTAACCTAATGACTCTAAAAGTGGATCCCGAACTAAAAGAGCTGTGGATGATGATTCTCCGCACCCAGGATTTGGGCGACTAGGTCCCCTAAAACCCTAGTCGCCCTTTAAAAAGGGGAGTATATAAGGTATTTCTCCCACTTCCCTAGCGTGCCTTCGTGGTGTAACGGTAGCATGCTGGGCCGGTATTCCAGAGGTCCGTGGTTCGATTCCCGGCGAAGGCTGCATATTTTTCATCTTTTCTGCTTCCAATTAACCTAATGACTCTACAATCTATAGATTTTCTATTGCGTACTTTCTATCGAAATAATAATTCATGATGTATTTCGTAAACCATAAATCTAATGCCAGTTTTATAGTTTTAACATCTATATAAAACTACTTAAATTACCATCTCTAGAAAATCATTAAATACAAATACGAAAGTTAAAATAAATTTCATAGTTATAAGAAAGCTTATTACAACAATATATTAACTCAGAAAATAAAATAATAATTTTAAACAACGGAAACGTCAATAAATGCACACTTCTAAATGCCTTCCAGTGGTCGATGGGTTGTGAAAATGAAAACGCTAGTTTAATTCTCATTTTAAAACATTCTAAAATAGTATTCATTGAATGGAATGGGAATGAGAATTAAGTATGTTTCACATGTTGTAAGGTACGTATGAGCAAGTTTCTTGTGGATATTTCTTTGCAAAAGTATTTGTATATGTAAATATGTGATGGTGGTTTTGCTGTCAGAAATAACGTAAATGGAATGTTTCACATAATAGAGATATTTTTTTTCGACAATAAGATAATTTCCAAAAAAAACCGGCTACCGAAATAAATAGGAATTGGAATTGTATTGATTATCGAAAATGTTTCGTCTGCAGCTCTGTCCCGGGTAGAGATCAACCAATCAGACGAAAGTTCTGCTACTGAAGGATCACGTGACCCCGATCTGAGCGATAATCGGTTACTGCTTGGCGTTCAAGTGTGTTTAGAAAGTAAAAATTTTAACCTAGCTACGTAGGTTTCGTGGAAATGTGCGGGTTCTGAGAAATTTCCCTTTCGACATCCATTCCCGCTTAGAGGAAACATATGTGATAGGGACCTTAGAGACGTACATCCTCCCAAGGACGTTTCTCTAAGCGAACGTAACATTCACGCGCTGATTTCACCATCTGCCGGTAAAATTTTTTCTTTAATTATTTTTTGTACCATATGGTGATCGATGCAGACAATCCTACACTTTCTTTGTCTTAATCAATTAATCTAATTTCAACCATCAACTGTATAATTTGCAGGCATCTCAAAATATATCCGAGTTCGGTCAACATTTTGCATGCGTGTAAGAAAACTGTTCTTAGTATGCTGCCTCGTTATGATGCACTGAAATTCTAAAAAACTTTTTTCATAATTTCTATTCAATTGACTTATGCTAATATGGCATGAAGCGAAAACGCCCACCATTTTATGAAGTTTCGATAGCATTGAAAATCTATTTTCGTATAGACTTCCAGCGTTTAAGTGCAGCGTTTAGAGTACTTTCAGCGTTTTAGTGAAGAGACAAATCTAACTCCAATTTGTGATGAAATTGTTGATTTACTTCTCCCGAGAAACTGCGTGATCCTTCTTCTCAGTAATTCTTTCAGTGATTTTTGCATTAACTCTAAGACATTTCTTAACAGTAATAATCTTTCGATAATGCCTTCGATAATTTCTTAACAGTAATAATCTTTCGATAATGCCTAATTTAAAATAACTTCCACTGCACTATGGCTCATGCGTTTGGGTTGTCAAATGTTCTCCTTTTCCTGAAGTTCCTACATAATTGGTCATAATAACACCCGTTCTTCCTAGTTTAGAACATTTAAAAATGTTTTTTAATTAATTATTTTCCAGATTTTCAATATCTTATTTATTTCAACAGTAATACGTATTATTGCCTACTATTTATATGTAAATATACATTTTCTGAATCTTCTCGGTTCCTTTAAATTGCACAGTGTGGAAGTTACGGAGATTCAAAACTATGATA